TTTATGTATTTATTGCAGCAACCTACATGTTATAGCATGGTCATACATACAAATTCAGATCTGAGACACTGCTACAACACTTAACAGCAAACTATGATGCTGGAAATTTAAATGAGAGAAAAAAAACACAAAGGCCTCAACAAGGTTTTTTGTGTGTGAGATTCAAGTGACTGTTGATGGTTCTACGATGATGTCAGCGTGTCAGCGAGTGTTTTGTACATTCAGCAGAGGAACCTCGATGGATTGCCTATGTGTTAGTTGTGTTGCTGTTGCATCCTGTGTTGTTGATGCCTGTGCAAGGAGAACAGATGTTATTCCATTTGTGTTCAGGCTATCGTAACACTGGACCAGTCAGCAGCACTGGAAAGCTGCAGATTGACAGCTCGGCTCTGGAATGTTCTCTCCAATCTCCCGTTACAAGAGCAAAGCTGGGAAAAATGAATCATGTGCTATCTCAATTTTAAGGAGGACTTTTTTATCTTTGAGCTGTAAACATGAGCTGCAATGGAGGATGAGAAACTTTGATATGTTGTTGAAAGCTTTCTCTCTTAGAATTTTATTCTAAGGAGAAATAACAGGCATAAATCCCCCCTATAGTGACAGTCTGATCTTTTAATGCTTATATTTAAAAAAAAAAACAGCGGTAAACTGCTGTAAGTGCCTAATTCTGGATTTAGGGGATAAAATTAGTTAAAGGTGCCTCAAGAAACTGACTACACTGTTTTTAAAGTGGAATGGAAATGAATCGCAAACCAGCATTTAAGGATTTTTCTTATTGAAAAAAAAATCATCACCACTTCTTCTGCCCTCACTGGACTTTTCAAAATCCAACCATTTCATTTAGTTTTTTTAGCATGCTGGGTATGAAAAACTGAATCTGTACTTTTTCAAGGCCCTCCGCCTCCATGAAAGTCTACACCTGCACACATGCAGCTTCTTCAGGGTCACATATGTGCAAATAAACCACTAACACCTCTTAAAGATATCGGGAACAAAAAATAAACCTGAGGAGAAAGCGCAGGATTAATCAAAACAAGGACCTCTAAAGTCGAACTGCATGTTTGACACATTATAATGTGTCTTTGGAAGCAAGTATTGCAGATTCTTCTGTGAGAAAATCTTAAATCTACCCAGGCTGCAGGTTTTAATGTCTTTTTATTCACTCAAAAAGGAAGATTAGCCTAAAAAAAATCTTTATTCCTACATTAGGAATCGTCTATGTCACCAAAGAAACAAAAACAAAACACCTCTTCCCTGGAAACTTTTGAGCCTATGTGATTTTTTCTGAAACGATGAAGTGTGTCTTCTCTAAATGCATTTCATTAATCTTTTCAAACGGATCACTTATGGGAATAAACATGTATTAAATAAGGGAAATATCTGGGAACAAAACTGTTGTAACTATATGGACAACTGTGTATGTCAGCAATGAGGAGCTCCCTTTATGATCATGAATGCACTCAAACAACATCAAAACATCAAGTACTGTTAAAAATACAAATGGATGCAGAAAGTCTGGGAATGGACTCCTCCAAGGAGCAGCAGGGCCACCAGCTTTCACCAGATTGTTTGCATCATTTGCCCACTAGTTGGGTCCAACATTTCTGTGTCCTGCGTGGAGTGGATTCTGAAAGAACCTCGCTTGACTCTCTGCCTCAGAACAACAGCCAACAAGCCTCTTCCTCTCAAATTTTGGCTAATACTCAAGTCTCTGTCGGATTAAGCTACTCCCTTTTGCAATTATTATTCCTTTGAAATAACTATTAACCACCTGCCTCTTGGACCAAACTCACAGCTTTCACTTCCTGTATTGGAAAATAAAGTCAGTTGGGTTTGTTTTTGTTCTGGCCTTCCTGCCATGACAAAATCCTGAATAATGATCCAGATTTAGGTAGATATCAATAAGTACAGTTTGGCGAGTCATTCATTACAAAATGAAAAAAGCTTTAGATACTTTACGTACTGTTTTTTTCTTCTTCCTCTATTATTAGACATGCATTGGTAAGCAGGAAACTGTAAGCACACTGGGCCTCCTCGCCCACAGGTCACTTGGGACATGGAGTCTGGTCACATTTTTTTTCAAAAAATGACCTTAAAATATTTTCAAAGAAAGAATGACGTAAGCCGTTTTCATTTTTCAGATCCAAAAGGGAAGGAACTGGTGAAAAGGTCATATTTTCCTCAAAGTTTCTACTGCACGGTCAAAGGATTATTCAACGTACTGGAAATAGACCTCATTATATCTCTCGGAAACCATTCACCATGTACAGTTTACGGGACTTTTGTCGTTGTGTGAATGTTGGAGGTACATGAAAGCAGCCATTTGGATTTTCTTTGCCAGTTTTCAAGCCACATGAAGGCCTTGCAGGTACTGTTGTGCTTCTGTAAATAACTTCAGAGTTGGGTCTGACCTGTTCTTTTTGGAAAGCACTGTGAGATAACTGTTGTTGTGATTTGGCACTGTATAAATAAAACTGAACTGAATTGAATTGAGGTAAAGGATAGGACATCTCAAGTCATCTTTTTGTAATTACATTTATCACAGATTAATGTACTAATATTGTCAGGTCAAATCCTAAATTAGGCTACACACAAAATGAAGTGTGCATGTAGTGAATGATTTAGAATATAAAATATGATGTACAGCTGAGGGTGGCTGTTTTACAACTAATGTCACATTAAAAAAAATATATAGATA